CTGCAGACTGACCAGGCCGATGCTCTCTCCACAGAATCAAAACAGTTAAGGCAGGATGGAGATATATATATATATATATATTTTTTTTTTTTTTTTGAGAGGGAGGAAGGGAGAGAGAGAGACATTGATGTGAGAGAGATACATCAATTATGATAGTTGCCTCCTGTAGGCACCCCAACTGGGAATGAAACCCACGACCTTCCAATGGGATGAAGCTCCAACCACTGAGCTATGCCGCTGGGGCTGTGCAGGACAATTTGGGGGACCATACGTTCTTATTGGGCCCATCTGTGGCCCTTTAGGCTGCACACAGATCCTGCCCTAGACCTGGACTCCTCAGAAGCATTTCTCTGGACAGTTCTCTCTCCCACACTAGCTCCAGGACAGCAGGCTTTCCTGGGACGCTGGCGAAAGCTCTTAAGGCCCCACTACCCTGGGCTGCACTCATGAGAGCTCAGAAAGGCACCTGCTCTCTCTCTCTGCTTCAGCCTCTGCCCTCAGATAGTTGAGAAATCCTGGCTGCCTATGCCCGTTAGACCTTCTTCACCTTGAGTCTCTATGCAGGATTTTCCCAACACATTATCCTCAGGCCCTTCCAAGGCACCACTCACTAGGCTCAGGAGCATCTTTTGGGTACCTGCGGGGCGTGCTGAGGATACAATATTGGATAAGCCAAGTCTCCGTCTTGTACATTCCAGAGAACAGTTACCATGACCTGTAGTGATCACTGTGATGGAAGGGTCTATCGAACGCTGAGGGCCCCCGGCCGCAGTGGCCGAGTGGTTCAGCATCAATCTATGAACCAGGAGGTCTGGGTTCGATTCCCAGTCAGGGCACATGCCTGGTTGCAGCTCGATCCCCAGTAGGGGGTGTGCAGGAGGCAGCCCATCCAAGATTCTCATCATTGGTATTTCTGTGCTGAGTGATTGGGGCTGGCCTTCCATGCGGGCCCCTCTGATGCTCTGTACTTCCTCCTCCCCTCCTGCTCTGTAGGCGCCCAGCATGGGCACCCTCATGGGGGTGTACCTACCCTGCCTGCAGAACATCTTCGGGGTGATCCTCTTCCTGCGGTTGACTTGGATGGTGGGCACGGCCGGTGTGCTGCAGGCCCTCCTCATTGTGCTCATCTGCTGCTGCTGTGTGAGTAGCCTCGCTGGGGGAGGGGGAGGGGCCGTGGCTGCCCACAGAGCCTGCCCAGCTGAACCGCTCACCAAGGCCCTCCTTCCCACAGACCCTGCTGACAGCCATCTCCATGAGCGCCATCGCCACCAACGGAGTGGTTCCAGGTGGGTGAGCAAGTGCCACCCCGGTCTGCTGAGGGTACGGGTCCAGCGTCCACTGTGACATAACCAGGAACCCTTACTGCTCCGGCTCCCAGAGCAGTTCTTTAGTGGGGTCTTGTCCCTGAACCCATGACAGTCGCATCGCTTAGGAACTTGCTCGGCAGAGTCTGTGGTATTTGTTGTGTTTTGTTCCTTTGTTTATGTGTTCCTTTGTTTAAAAGGGGGCTGGGGCTGACAAAAAAGGTGATGGGGTGCTGAAAACGCTCCACATTCCCAGGAGAGGCAGTTCGGAGGGTCTCCAGCAGGGATGATGAGATTGGCTTGGTTTTCAGATACGCTATTTGTTTGTTTATTCAACCATCTATTTATATCAGTATAAACTCCCAGATACTTATTTTATTCTTTGAATCACAATCCAGTACTTCATTATTTATTTTGTTGCTCAAACGGTTCCATTTTGGGTATTTAGCTACTCAGGGTGGCTCCTCTGTTTCTAAATCCTTTTTTTTTTAATCCTCACCCAAGGATCTGCTTTTTGTTTTGTTTAAATTTTGTTGTTAATCCTCACCCAAGGATATTTTTCCCATTGATTGGAGGGCGAGAGTAGAGAGAGAGAAAGATGTGAGATACATCGATTGGTTGCCTCCTGCACGTGTCCTAATGGGGCCAGGTATATGAAACCCGGGTATATGGTCTGGGAATCAAACCCACAACATTTTGGAGTGGGGATGATAGTTCAGCCAATAGCCACCGGCCAGGGCTGTGTTCGGATCTTCTCTCTGCCCCTCTGTAAAAAAATCAATTAAAAATAAATAAATAAATAAATAAATAAATAAATAATAAAAATAAGTTTTATTTGTATTAGGATTAAATGGGGTTAGGGAGATGTAATATATGTTTACCCATAGTAAGGTTTAAAAGTGCATAAAAATATAGAAAGGAAAATTGAAAGTACCCATAATTCTACCATCCTGAATTCATAACTACTAGCCTTAGATCTATTAGTATATTGTTCTTCCCAAATGTGTGTGTGTGTGTGTGTGTATGTATTTCCCAAAATAAAATATTGGGAAAATTTTTTTTTTTTTTTAGTAGAATTGATAGGGTATTATCTAATTTGTGTGATTATTTTTCTACTCTTAGGTTCTGCTTTTTCACTGCTGTTATTGTTGTGAACAGCCTGTTCCCTGTTCCCACCCCTGGCCGCTCCCTTAGTCGAGGGTCCTGGTGGTGGGATTACTGCATGAAAGGGATTAGCCTTTTTAAAGTTTTTGGATCCCTGTTCCCAGGTTTTCGCCAGAGACATTTTCTCAGGAGCACATTTAACTAGCAGCTTGCGAGTACTCTTGTCCCCTGTGCCCTCGCTGGTCCTGGGGCCTAGTGTCGACTCTGTCAACCTCACCAGGGATGTTAGACTCTGAAGGAAGCACAGACTCAGGGCAGGAGAGTCAGCCATGGACACTCACCCAGTGGCAGGCCCTGTGCTGGGCCCTAAGGACAAAGAACTAGACAAGACACAGTCCCTGCCCGGGCCTGGAGGAATCAGACTAACAGCCCTAGGAGCGGGGAAGGTGTTCTCAGATAGGAGGCACCCAGACAGAGGAGGCTGTAGGGACTGGCCTAAGTGCAGGGAGTTGGGGGACAGTGGGCCACTTAGGTAATGCTGTGGTCCTAGCCAATAGTCATTTCCCTGGGCTGTGCTGGGCATTGGAGTCGGATGGGACTGGGGTCCAATTGGCCTCTTACTAACCACACAGCCTTAGGCAAATCTCCCTCAATGGGAAAGTTCATTCCTGTCCCTCTGGGTAGTTGTGAGGAGTTGTCGGGGAGGAGACCGCCTTGAAGAGGAACAGCCTTGACCTTGACCTTGACCTTGACCTGTATACATGTTCTCTGTTGTAGCTGGGGGCTCCTATTTCATGATCTCCCGCTCCCTGGGGCCAGAATTTGGAGGTGCTGTGGGCCTGTGCTTCTACCTGGGAACCACATTTGCAGCAGCCATGTACATCCTGGGGGCAATTGAGATCTTACTGGTGAGTCATGCTAAGGCCTGGCCAACTCTGCTCTTGTCCAAACACTCCCTTTCCCGTAGGCCCAGGCTGCTCGCGCTCCTTTCGCCTCTGGCCAGGGTCTAGGGCTTGTAATGTGGGAGGCCTTCTTGAGGAAGAAAGATCTTTTGCACAAGCCAGTCTCTTCAATCCCTTGCCAGTTTGGGCTACGCAGGGAAGGGGCCTGGCCTGGCAGCCTTCATCTTGGCCCTGGATATTCCATCCGCCTAGGCCCCATTTCAGTGGCAGGTGATCTGTAAACCAGTGCATCCGACTTAGTGACAGATCTTGATGGTGACGCAGAGCCTGCCTCCTGGGCTCTGGTCGGGTCTGTTTCCCCCAGGCCTCTGTGCCAAGTCCCTTCAGACCCACCCTATCCTTGTCCCTACGCCAGGGTAAGTAGCCACGGGACCCTGTCTGGAGGTCAGTGCCCCCTCCGTGAGCCCATGTGTGTTCTGATTCAGCTTCCCACTCCCCACTGAAGTGCCCCAGCTGGAAGGCAGAGGGGCCGTGGGAGTCACAGGGGACCCAGCGAGGAGGAGATGTTTAGAGGAACCACCTGGCCAGTCCCACCTCTAGGTCCTGTGCCTGTAGCTTGGACCCTTCTCCTATAACTTTTTTGGTTTTGCATTTCTCGCATTCCTACATTTATTATTTGAGTTTCCTCTGTAAAGAAAATTTGTCCTTTTCCCCATTTATTTATTTATTCAACCATGTATTTGTATCAGTTTGGACTCCTGGCTATTTATTTTATCCTTGGTTCACGATCCAGCACTATCATTATTTATTTTGTTGCTCAAACTGTCCACTTTGGTTGTTTAGTGATCCCAGTTCACTCCTGTGCCTGGATTCTTTTTAAATAACAGGTTTATGATGATATAGTTCCCATGCTGTACAATTTGCTACCCATTTAAAGTATGGACTTTAAAGGTTTTTAGTATATCCACAGAACTGGGCAACCATCACCACAATGAATTTTAGAACTTTTTCACTCCAGAAAATCCATCCTGGGTAGTAGTCACTCTCTGTTCCCTCAGCCCTGGGCAACCATTAATTTACTTTCTGTCCGCAATCAGAGGTACCTATTGTAGACATTTCATATAAATGGAATCATACAGTATGTAGTCTTTTGTGACTGGCTTTTTCTGGATACTCTTTAAAAAAAAGGGGGGGGGGGGCGAAACCGGTTTGGCTAAGCGGTAGAGCGTTGGTCTGTGGACTGAAAGGTCCTGGGTTCGATTCCGGTCGGGAGCATATATGTTGGTTGTGGGCACATCCCCAGTAGGGGGTGTGCAAGAGGCAGCTGGCCGATGTTTTTCATAAACGTTTCTAGCTCTCTCCCTTCCTCTCTGTAAAAAATCAATAAAATATATATATATTTTTAAGTGGGATTCATTTTCCAAACAGGAAAATTGAACCTTCTATATCTGTCTCTTGTTTCAGACTTACATTGCTCCGCCAGCTGCGATTTTTCGCTCAACAGACACTCACGACTCTTCGAGTGCCACCTTGAACAACATGCGAGTGTATGGGACCATTTTTCTAACCTTTATGACCCTGGTGGTGTTTGTTGGGGTCAAGTATGTGAACAAGTTTGCCTCGCTCTTCCTGGCCTGTGTAATCATCTCCATCCTCTCCATCTATGCCGGGGGCATCAAGTCTATTTTTCACCCTCCCGTGTTTCCGTAAGTAATCTGGGAAATGCAGCCGGGCGTTGGACTGACATCCCTCCCAAGTAGATGGCCTTTGATGTCCTGAGTCCTAGAGTCTGCAGGGCGGAGGCAGGTGGGGACCTGTAGCTGAGCGGGTGATGATGCTTGCCCCTCCCCGCAGAGTGTGTATGCTGGGCAACAGGACCTTGTCCCGGGACCAGTTCGACATCTGTGCCAAGACGGTCACGGTGGATAATGAGACAGTGGCCACCCGGCTGTGGAGCCTCTTCTGCCACAGCTCCAACCTCACCACCGACGCCTGCGACCCCTACTTCCTGCTCAACAACGTGACGGAGGTCCCCGGCATCCCGGGTGCGGCCGCCAGCGTGCTGCAGGGTGCGCCCTCGCTCCCGTCCTCGCTCCCGCCCCCCCCCCGGGCTGCGCATGGAAGGAAAGTGGATCACAGAGCCGGCCTTGTGCGGCCAGCTCAGGAATAGGGGGGCAGGTCTGGCTGCCTTCCAGGCCCAGCGGTGTCCTCAGCCTGGCTCCTGGCAGCTAGGTTTTGGGTGGACAGAGCCTGTTTGGCCAGTGTCCCGGGCCTGCAGCAGCCCCCGGGAAGTTCTGGCAGCCCCTCTCCCCCCAGTCACCAGCCCCTGACGCTGCCTGGATTATTCTCCCAGGAGCCATAAAGGGCTTCTGTCTAGGAGGCAGGCAGTGGCAGGGCTCTGGCTTCAGCAACCTTTGCCTGTCAGATTTCTAGCCAGACAGCGTCTCCTCTGCGGCTGGTGCTGCAGACATTGGGCTGAAGCTGCCCCTGAACTCCCCCCCGCCCCCCCCAACCCCACCCCCCGCCCCAGAGCCTCTCACACCTGCAGGCTCTGGTTGGGCTGCCCTCAGCTGCCCCTGGGACATGGGTGGGGCTGCGGTGGTGACGCTGCCGCCCCTGCAGAGAACCTGTGGAGCACCTACCTGGAGAAGGGCGAGGTCGTGGAGAAGCACGGGCTGCCCTCCACAGATGCCCTCGGCCTGAAGGAGAATCTGGCCCTGTACGTGGTCGCTGACATTGCCACCTCCTTCACCGTGCTGGTTGGCATCTTCTTCCCCTCTGTGACAGGTGAGCCCTTCTTGCAGCCCTCCCCGCCCTGCCCCCTTCTCCCGAGGAGCCCCTAAGGAAATCTTGTTTGAAGGCATCATGGCTGGCTCCAATCGCTCCGGTGACCTCCGAGACGCCCAGAAGTCCATCCCGGTGGGGACCATTCTGGCCATCGTTACAACCTCCCTTGTGTGTATCCTTTCCCAGGCCTGGCGCAGCAGCGAGGGAAGCAAGAGGCGTTTGCCTTCCTGTGCCACCAGCTGGCATGCACGGATACAGCACACTTTGTGCATGCGTGCTTTGATGCCTTCCCCCTCACAGGACAACCCCCTCAGCTGCAGGTGCCCAGCTGAGTCCTCTGGCGAAGGCGAGGGCCAGGGGCATGTGGTCCCGTGGGGGAGTGGGTGGGGGCAGCATTGGCGTGGAGGCCCAGCTTTCCTTGACGCGGCACAGACTTCAGCAGCGTGGTTCTCTTTGGCGCCTGCATCGAGGGCGTGGTGCTCCGGGACAAGTGAGTGAGCTGGGCCCCTCCTGGCGGCAGTGGGCTCGGCTTTTGCCTCCTTTGACACCAGCCCCCCTCAAATATGTGGTCCCACACGCATCCTCAGGCTGCTGGTTGCCAGCGGTAGTGTGTGCCACTAGGCGGGTCAGGCCCCACCGTGACTTTTGCTCCTTAGAGAATGGCGACATCAGAACCAGGGTGGGGATGAGGAGAAAGGATAGGGGCTGATAGATTGGACTTGTGTGACACCATAGCCGTCCTTACTGGCCTGACATCCCTCGCCCAGGGTTTGGGGGCTCCTTGCAATGGTGTATGGCCTAAGCCTGGCCCCTGCAGGTACGGCGACGGTGTCAGCAGAAACCTGGTGGTGGGCACGTTGGCCTGGCCTTCGCCTTGGGTCATTGTCATCGGCTCCTTCTTCTCAACCTGTGGCGCCGGCCTGCAGAGCCTCACTGGGGCACCACGCCTGTTGCAGGCCATCGCCAAGGACAACATCATCCCCTTCCTCCGTGTGAGCCCTTTTGCACCCCCACACCCCACAGTGGGGTGCTCCTGGCCCCTCCCACTGGTGGAGGGCAGGGATACAGATGTATTATATCCTGCTGGGGCCCTTAGTGACCCCACGGCCACAGAGCCATCACGAGGAGTTGCTGAGAGCCGTTCTGGCTCTGGCTCTGGCTCTGCCCTGCTGTTGGCAGAGCAGCTTGGGCCCAGCATCCTCATGGCCGATCTCTGGCTCATTCAGAGCGGAGAGGCCTGGAGAGGTGGGGGGCAGAGAAACTGGCGGAACCTATTGGGAGAGGCATGGGTATGGCCTGAGCCCCGGAGGAGGGACTTGAGGATGCTGGAGGCCAAGCTGTAGCTTGTGACTCAAGGTGTGGAATGGGGGTGATGGGACCAACTTCTTCCCTTGCTGACCCCACTGACCCTGGCGCATGCAGGTATTTGGCCACGGGAAGGCAAATGGTGAACCGACGTGGGCACTCCTCCTGACGGCACTCATCGCTGAGCTGGGCATCCTCATCGCCTCCCTCGACATGGTGGCCCCCATTCTGTCCATGTGAGCTGGGGCCAGGGCAGGGCAGAGGGATGGTTGTGGGAAAGGCTCCTTGAACCCTCAGCATCCTATGAGCCAGGGCCCCAGCACCTCCCTGTGACCCTGCCTGCTGTTGAGGGTGCATCTGGGTCACATGTCGGGGTGTATGGGCAGATATCTGCCTGGCAGAGCTCTGCATTTAGAAGTGAGCCTGATGTTTATGCAGAAGAGACAGCAGGTCCTACACCTTCTGTGGGAGACTCCCAGAGCAGGCAGGAGACTACTCTCCACTCCTGGTCAGGGCAGGCACCCAGTCCCTGGCACCTTGGTGAAACCATCGTTGCCCCATCCGTCTGTTTTCAGAGTTGTTTGCTTTTAAAGTTCTGGAATGAACTGGGCATTGGAGTCTGCCAAGTGCCCTCAGGAAGTGGTCAGCATGTGGCAATTCGCAGGGGTCCCTGAGACAGAGCTCCTGTGGTTGCTGTGTTCACTGCTGCCATTGTTGGGGCCCACTCCATCTCTCCTCACACATCTCACTCCACTGCCAATGCTCTCTGGCTTGTTTGCTTCTGATGAGACTACCTTTCACTGCCCCACTCAGCCCGTAAGCCCAACAGGCCCTCCTCCCCCCAACGCAGCATCTCCCAGCCACTGCCAGCCCTCAGTGACCTCGTCTCCTCCCAACTCACCTCCACCCACTACTGCCCAGCTTCACCCACACATGGTGCACATTGAATCTGTTCTTGCCACAGCCGTCTTGGGTGGCGATTCCTCTCACCCTAAGCCAGAGGATATAGCTCAGTCCTTACTTATTATTTTTTAATCCTCACCCAAAGATATTTTTCCATTGATTTTTAGAGAGAGGGAAAGACAGAAATATCAGTATGAGAGAAACACATCGATTGGTTGCCTCCTGCATGCACCCTATCCAGGGCCCACGCTGGGGAGGAGCCGGCAACCGAGGTATATGCCCTTGACTGTAATCGAACCTGGGACCCTTCAGTCCACAGGATGAATGCTCTATCCACTGAGCCAAACTGGCCAGGGCATAGCTCAGTCTATCATGGGGCTCTTCAGGGCAGCCCTGTTGGGACTGACCATTCCCCATCATGGGAGTCCCTGTCCCCTGGACTTGCCCTCTCTGGTAAGTCCCTCTGCCTTTTTTTTGTCTGTCCTTCTCCAGCCAGCTGAGGGTAGAAGCTGGCAACCCCTTCTATCAGCCCTCTGCTGCTCAGCTCTCTTCCTGGAGGGTTCACACAGCACGCCTCGCCCATGTCCCACCCAGTCTCCTACATTCCTAGTGTCCTCAGGTGTCTCTAACTCAGTGTCTTCAAAATGGCCCTCATTATCTCTCCCTACCTTCTCCTCCCCACATTCCTGATAGCCCCTAGGCCAACTGGTCACCAGGCCAGGGGCCTGAAAATTGTGTGGCCGTCTCCAGACACTGAGCTCTCTGAGACCCATCCTTTCTCACAGCTCTACACTCGCTCTTCCTCTGCCTCCTCTGCCTGTGAACAGTTGCCCATCCTCTAAGCCAAGGATGGGGAAAGTCTGGCCTGGGGGCCGTATATGGCCTGCAAAATACTTGGTCTGGCCCTGCCAAGGCAACCACAGGTGGGACTCGAAGTTCAATAAATCGAGGAGCTATTTTCATAGCAAGATACATTTATATTAAGTGAATAATAGTAAGTGGATGATGTTATAAATATTCAAATGGCAGAAAAAAGGTTCACTCATGCCTAAGCCCTGGCTCTGAGGACTCCTGTGCAGTAGCCCCATCTGCCTCGGGCATGGGAATGAGTGCTGTGAGGCTGTAAGCAGCTGGCTCAGCCCGTGTGTGACAGGGACATCAGGAACCTGGCTGCCAAGGAGGCCGCTCTGTACCAATCAGCCCCTGTGGTGCAGGTTCTTTCTGATGTGCTACCTGTTTGTGAACTTGGCCTGTGCTGTGCAGACGCTCCTGAGGACTCCCAACTGGCGGCCCCGGTTCAAGTACTATCACTGGTGAGCACCAACTGGACTCCTGAACCAAGTCCTCTGACATAGTGCTGTGGGGAAGCCAGGAGACCCATTCAGGATGGGGTTTGAGTTTCCTGGGCTTCAGTAGCTGTTGGTGAGAAGTTGGGGGGCTGGGGGCTTGGTCTGGGGCAGTGGTCGGCAAACTGCGGCTCATGAGCCACATGCGGCTCTTTGGCGCCTTGATCGTGGCTCTTCCACAAAATACCACTGTTGGCGCGCACATACAGTTCGATTGAAACTTCATGTCCCATGCGCAGAAGTCGGTTTTTGGCTCTCAAAAGAAATTTCCATCGTGATATTTGGCTCTGTTGACTAACGAGTTTGCCGACCACTGGTCTGGGGCCATCCTGGTTTTTCCCTGATTCTTGTTCTTCCCCACTCTCTGGCCCAGGGCATTGTCTTTCCTGGGCATGAGCCTCTGCCTGACCCTTATGTTTGTTTCCTCCTGGTACTATGCGCTGGTCGCCATGCTCATTGCGGGCATGATCTACAAGTACATTGAGTACCAAGGGTAAGTGAGGGGTTGCCACCTGGTCGGGGCAGTGGGGTGATCTGTATGTTGGGTTGGGGGAAGCTGAGCTATCTGCTAGCCACCACAGGTGCAGGGCAGGGAGGTTGGGGGGCTTTGATTCGGGGCTTGGCCCCCTTCCATCTCACTACTCCTGGACAGAATCCTCTGAATGGGACCAGGGGCTCACCAACTTATGGTGGCCTCTATAGGGCTGAGAAGGAATGGGGTGACGGGATCCGAGGTCTGTCCCTGAGTGCTGCCCGCTATGCACTGTTGCGGCTAGAGGAGGGGCCTCCTCACACCAAGAACTGGCGGTGAGTTCACACCCAGACTGGCAAAGGCCACTCGAAGTTCTCAGGGGGCACTCTGAGGGTGGGACCGTTGAGAGGCGCTGGCTCCCCTTCCTGGTTCATGTTCCCTATCCTGGGGTGGCCAGGGGTGCCCTTGGATCTCTGCTCCCCAAACCTGTGGGAGCCTGTGAATCGAGAGGGAAAGGAGAAAAGTGGCTCCTTGGACACCGCTGGCCCCGGCCTCAGGCTGCCTCACTACCTGGCTCTGCAGGCCTCAGCTGCTGGTGCTGCTGAAGCTGGACGAGGACCTTCACGTGAAGTACCCACGGCTCCTCACCTTCGCCTCTCAGCTGAAGGCCGGCAAGGGCCTGACCATCGTTGGTTCTGTCATCCAGGGCAGCTTCTTGGAGAGCTATGGCGAGGCCCAGGCCGCTGAGCAGGTGCCTGCTGCAGGGGGCACATAGGGGAGGGGACCAATCCTGGCCAGCCAGGTGGACAGCAGTGCTGCCACCTAAGAGCTGA